TTACCCACTAGAACTATATTCTTATGTACCATTTCACAATTGATGGTGTTGCTTATCGTTGCTTATAAGAAGATTGGTGATCTGACCACAGTTCTCACCCAGCAATCCAGTCTGCATACTCACGGTTTTCCTTAGACCACACAAGACACAAGCAAGTCAAATTCAGTATGCTTTTAATGACAATGCAGTTTCTAAGCTATTTACACAGTTCTGAAGCTATTTACATGTAGATAAAAAAACAACAACAAAATGTAATGTAACACCTGGCAAAGTAGCAGGTAATGCAAGTAAACAGTGCGCCATAAGATCCAAATAACAAATACATTTTTACATTCCAAATACATTTAAAGCATCTCTGTCACTTTAAAAAGGTATAACAAAGTAATAAAAAATTTTTTATGATTGCCAGTCCTCCCATCTTTTCTTTTAATAATTGCTCTCTTGCAGAGTAAGACCTCTTCACATCAGACACACTTTTGGGTGTGTTGGATGCCTGGTCCCTTGCTGTGGTTCCTTCCATTGGCTCCTAAGTCCCTACAGGGCACAGTAGTGAGTAGAAGTCAGAGGAAGGAACCATAGCACGCAACAGGGGATGGAAGTATCCGATTCTCCCAGAAGTGTTACATGTGAAGATTCTTCAGGTGGCTGCATTAAGAGAGAGAGGATCAGAGGAACAGATGGCCACAGAGGTAAGTATAAAGCTTCTTCTTTTGCAGGTCCAACTTATTTCCATTTTTTAAATGAAATGATGGGGTCACTTTAGGAGGCGGTCTGAGCTCCACTTGCATCAGGCTTTGCCCATATATTCAGAGTATCCCTCACCCATGCTGCTTATAAGGTTAGACATACCTCCCAACTTTCCGATATGGGAAAGAGAAGTGAATTAAAAGTGGATATAAAATAATAAAAATAAATAAACATTCATCCAAAGTAATTACCTGCAATAGAAGACACACTATACTTACCTCTATGGCATTCCATGTATCATACTTTCCCTCTGTTTCAGTGCTGTAGCCTTGGTATGCCTCTCTTTAATTCAGGATTTCTGGGACTGTTAAAGGCCTGTGTCCTGTGTGCCACCCTTTGGTTCCTTCCTCTGACCCTTATGTCACTGCTGAGGGAACATATGCATTCAACAGTCCAGACGTGTTTAATGCTGCAGCACTAAAACAGGGGGATGTTATGAGAAAAAGGATATCTAAGAGGTGGGTATATGGTGTCTTCGTTTGCAGGGGACTGGTTTTGACCTTGATCTTTAGTTTAACAACTGAGTCACTTTGAGGCTTTGTCTTATTGAAACCTTGAACTAATCAATCCTATACAAGTTTTGACCCACGTGTGTGTGTACATTTCTTCTTGAACCGTTGAGCTCTGTAAATAACATGATTTTTACAAGTGATGATGGTGATACAGAGGAAATGTGAAAAGTAGCCTAATGCTCCACCATCTTAACTTAACAAAAAATATTTTCTAGAGTTTTTTTTAGCCCTTACTATATTAAGCATAGAAAGAAAATTTTAACTTGAAACTGCATCAAAAGAGTTTCATACTCTCCTTTTAGTTCTTACCATTACATGTTTTAAAAATCCTGCATTTGGCAACTTTGCATTAATGTGTCACAATGTCCGGAAATCTGTGCCGGATTTTCGCTTTGCTCCCTGGTTCTGGGCTGTCAGCCTATGTGTAATAATCTATTTAAATGGAGGACAGAACTCAGCTGCGGAGTCACGTTCAATCTCACGTGCTCGGGCACAGGAGTAGGTGCTGGTAAGCAAAAACGAACCAAACAGTCTCAGAGCATCATAGTACCGCCTCTAGTACAATCTGACTACTCTGACTAACATAAGAGTGATGTGTGGTGGAGAACGGGATTGCTCAAGGTGTATCAGTGTTTGTATGTTACGTCACATATATCACTTAAATGGTTATCCTTGGTTTAACACAGTCCTATAGTATCAACAGGTAGTTCAAGATAGATTCAGCAGGTGGCAGTAGAGTTCACTTAGAGAAACCCAGTCTTATCATATTCAACGGATAATTTTAGATAGATCCAGCAGGTGGCGGTAGAGGCCACCTACTCACTGCAGACAGATAGTATTCGGTCTAAATAGGTGAAGTTATACAGCCTCTCTAGTCAGTTGAACTAGAGGGCGAATACTTGCTGTTAGGAGCTTCCGCAGTGAGAGGCAAGGAGGCACGGAGGAATCCGGGTTCAGCAGGGCTAGGGGCCCGATCCAGAGTCCAGGTATGTGGCGAGTGCTGCGGTGGTCTCCCGTATCCGTCTGGCGTTCCTATCAGGATATTGGAACGCCAGACTTCCGTATTGCTGCCGCTTATGATGCGGCGGGGGGAGTTCCCTGATGACGTCGGCGGACCGGGGGCGGAGGAAGCCCTCGAGTCCGCGACGCTGCACGGCCCGATCTGAGGGGGATGTTACACTATGGTGTCTCACAAGGTTGCAGCCAATCAGCACTCTTTCTTTCCTATTTATGACTTCCTCACTTGTTGCTCTTGCTGCGAGCAACAAGTCTTATGCCTTGTTCCGTACCCCTTGTGGCTCTAACTATCCCTGGGCTCTTATTCCCTGCACTTGCTATTGGATCCTTGTGCCTTTGGCTTCCCTTTACCAGCTGGTATCCCTGTTTGGCGTTATCCCCTGCTTTGCTCCTTGCACCCCTACTGTAGTATTTCAGTGGTTACCTTTAGTATAGTGCAGATCTTAATTGCTTTTACCTGTGTGCTGTGAGTCTCTCTATACCGCCTTCATTGCCTCACTTCTACTGTGTTTTTCCCTCTCCAGCCTTTGTCTGTTTGCTTCCTCCTATTTACTTGCTTTCTTGTACTTCAATTCCGTCACTTACCTTCCAGTGTATCTTCCTTTGCTTTGCTGTCACCCCTTTATTTCTGTGCTCCTCTCTTACCTTGTGGCTGTGTTGGATTCGTCCTTGTCTGCACACCCCCTGTGTGCATACAACCCTTTGTGCTTCTTTATGTACTTTTCCCTCTGTTATCCTGCTTCTTTGTATGCATGTGCAACGCACATCTCCTGCTTACTTTTGTATGTTACACCTTCCTGCGCCTAGGTGTGCCTCTAAGCTACTTAACCTTCCCGAGTGTCCTTGTTAAGCTACCCTCTTCAGTATACTCTGCTGTTCTGCTGTGCGGTTTGCACTTTTTGCTTGTGACTTTCTCTTTCTCTCATTGTGTGCCACTGTTCCTATCTTCCTCCTCTTGGTTACAAGTTTCTTCCCTACCTGTTGTTTGTATCCAGTTCCCCGGTGCTTTGACTAGTCCTTTGTGTCTGTGTGGGTGCGCTAGAGGCCGCAACCTGGAAGGTGTCCAGCAGCCAATCATCCTCACCACTAGAGGCTCTGTCGAATACCTGGCCCTTCTTAGATTCTGCGCCTCTAGTGCGTCCTGAGAACGCACAGACCATTAGTTCCTCTATGTGACCAACATCCCAGATATCCCTCCTGTCTGTGACTCCTACCAACTCCTCAAACCCCGGAGCTCACATACCCTTGTGCCCCGGTCCCCAGACCGTAACATAATGCATTAGTAATTTGTACAAAGACGAACAATATAACCACTAATGCTTTTATTCTGCATGCATTTTAATATACCAAGGCTCCCCAAAAGTAGGATAAACATTTCCTCTGGAAAATTTTAAAATACATATAAAAATGCATTGGAATACAATTCACCACAGAAGTGAATGTGCTTAAAAGTGCTTATTGTATATCATATTTTTAAGTGCAGGAGCGTAGAAAGAAAGCAACTAAGAGTTTGGTTTTATACAGCAATGAATAATGTTCAGTAAAATAATAGCATAATGCATTACACTTCTTAACAGAAGTGGAAGGAAAAAATACCTTGATCAGAGATAATATACAAGATCAAGCATCAAATATTTGGCTCGTTAACTAAACTGTGATATGAGGAAAAAACTGCACTACATAAGTAAACATGTTAAAATATTAAGCAGCCTCTGCAATGGGTTGACATTATTCCACCTGTCATATCCTCCCAAAGCTTAAAACATTCAGGTTTGAAGCAAAATGTTGCAGTGAAAAGAGTTAGAGAGCATTGATGTTTAAGTTAAAGAAAGACAAGATGTCACCTAAAAGATAAGAAAAAGACATAGCAAACCCCTACACTCTTTCATCTTCCAAACTCCACTGACTGAAAGAGAAGCCATAGAATTTATTCTACAAATTCAACGCTTGAGAGAAAACACAATCCATCTTCTTACACTTGGTGAAAGATTTGTTGGGTAAAATGCAAAGAAACAGTGGCCCACAGACAGATAAAGCAGAGTGTTTTATGTGACTGTGAAAAGATAATAAAAAGGAATCCACCTATACATTTAGAATAAGAAGTGCTGAATATGGCTTAGCTCAAGACATACTGCATGCTATGAAACAACACGTGTCAAATCTAGATGCAGCCAGTCTATAGTTTTACACTGTAATTCCCCCGTTGTCACAAATATGGCATTATAAAGCAGCAAAGGGAAATGACAAACTAGTCTAGTGGCATGTACCCCAACATGTCAGTTATTACTAGTATTAGCCATAAAACCTTCCTTTGTGTGCCTGTCTGATTTAGTTTTGCTTTGTTACTGGGGGGGGGGGTCTGTTTTCCCCAGCATCTGAGCCATGCCATGCCCAAATGCCATCCCCAGTTCATTCAGGGCACTTCAATCTCCATGAAGATCAATCTTAGCAAGACAGGGTGCAGGACGGTGGGCAGGGCTTAGCTTAGAACTCAGGGAAGTTAAGTCCCTAAAGTTAAATATTAATTGCAATTA